TCTACTATTCTACTATTTCTATTCTAAACCTTCTCATCTCTCCTCAAGCTTCCCACAGCACCTCTTAACTCTAAACCTCTCAGCTGAGAATCTTACATAATACTTCACTTAAAAGAAATTTAGTACATTTGCAAAAAGCTACTCTTTCTCCTCTCATTCAGACATCGTTCCTTATTATCTGACTCCTCTTTCACTTCAGTTTTGGATAAAAAGGTGGCCATCCTCTTTGCTATGGCCAACTCCTCTAGGTCACTTCCAGACCTGTCCAGCAAATTGCCCCCACCATTCTTCCCATTTTCCTTCTTATCTTTAATTTCTTGCTAGCTACTGGCTTTGTCCTTGATGCTTATAAACATATTTGTGTCTCCTCTATCCTTAATTAACCCTCACTTGATCTTACCATCCCTACTAGCTATCATCCCATATCTCTCCTCCCCTTTGTAGCTAAACTTTTTGGTGCTTCTGTTTCCTTTCCTCTATCTTCCAAACTCTCTACAATCTGCTTCCCAGCCTCATTATTCAACTAAAACTGCCCTCTCCAAAGTTACCAATGACTTCTAATTACCAAATCCAATGACCTTGCCTTACTCCACATATTCTTGATTTCTCTCCAGCATGTGACACTGTTGATACTCTCATCCTTCTGGATACTCTCTAGATTTTCATGACATCATTCTCTTCTGGTGCTTCTTATGTCTCTCTGAGCCTTCTTTCTCAGTCTACTTTGCTTATTCTTCATCCAAGTCATATCTATTATCACCAAGGTTCTAATGAGCTCCACTGAGTTCAACGATTACCTCTATGCAGATCATTCCCATATTTAGGTATCCAACCCTGGTCTCTTTCCTGAGATACATCTTGAACTGGATGTCCCTTGGCACTTCAAACCCAGTATTTCCAAAACAGATCTCATTACCTTTCCACATAAACCCTTCCTCCATGCTTCCCTATTATTCCTAATCACTCAGGCTCTCTGACAACTTCAAGAATGAAGCTGTCTTGACTTTTCTTTGTCACTCATTCAAAACATCCAATCCATTGCTAAATCTTGTTGTTGCTATTTTCACAACATTTCTCATATAACCTCCCTTTTCTCCATACATACAGTAACAACCCTAGTTTGGATATTCATTACCTCTCACCTGGGCTGCTGTAATAGTCTTGTAACTGGTTACCTTGCTTCGAGTCTTTCTCCATTGGCTGCCAAGGTGATTTTTCTGAAGTATAGATATGATCATCTTATCTCCCTTGCTCAATGAGTTCCTGTGGCTCCCCATTTCCTGAGGGATAAAAATGTAAAGAAGTCCTCTGTTTGGCATTTAAAGCTCTTTATAACTTGGCCCCTTCCTGTATTTCTTGTTTCACACTTAACTTTCCTCCATGAGCTCCCTCCAGCTTCAATGATCTACTTGCATTTCCTTGAATACAATACATCCTATAAGTATTGTTATCATCATCATCATTATTATTGATATCTTGTCTCCATGCCTTTGCATCTGCTATCCTTTATTCCTGGAATGTGCTACCCCCTCACCTCTCCCTCTTGGTTTCTTTCAAGACTCAGCTCTAGTCCTACATTCTTCAGGAGGTTTTTCCTGGTCCCTCAATTGCTAATGCTTCCCCTTTCAGACAACTCTCCATTTATTCTCTAGATATTTTTAGTGTATTTAGTCCTAGCTATTTACATGTTGTTTTCCCCACTGGAACGTATGCTCTTTGAAGGCAGGAACTATTTTACAGATAGATGATATGTAGCAAGGCTGTCCCTCATATGTAGCAAGGCAGTATCCTCCATGACTCAAAGGGAGACAGAATAGACATCTCTAGCCTCTTGTTCCACCCCCCCACCCCACTTCTCCTAGGGACTGTTGAAGGGATTCTCTCTACCAGGAGAGGAAGCAGAAAGTCGAGGGCAGAGGCTGACTGAGAGAAGGAGAACTGGTCTAGAATTACAGCTACCTGCTCCCTTTAACATTATTAGTCTAGAGGATGTAGTTTTCAGGTTCAAGCTAAACTTTTAATTGCTGTTTCATCAATAGGGAAAAAAGGATCCAATTTTTATATCCAAGGTTTGAGTCCCTTCCTACCAAATACCAGTTCCACAAGGAACACGCATACCAAGTAGCAAAGAAATCCATTTATCCAAGTCCATAGCAAAACAGAAATCAGAGAAGGTATACATAGGAGAATATATACCAGACAATACAGAGTGAAGGGGCTCTCCAACTGGAGAGAAGGGTAACTCAGCTCAACCAAGAGAAAGTCTTCTATCTCACCTAAGGGGGAATAGCAGCAAACTGGATAGGGACAGGATAGAGACTGCTAGCTCCTCTCATGTTGGCCTCTTCCCAGAGACTTATTCTCTCTTCAACAACCTGAAGTAGAGTGGGCATTGCCCATTTTTTTTCTCTTGAAGCTGGCAGACAGAAGTATCCAAAATGACTGCAGAGATTGAAGAGATAGGAGCTCTTTCCCTTTCTCTGCAACTTCTGCCTCACTCCTCACACAGGTGCAGCACATTGATCTCCATCAATGAGTAGAGAGACCCATGCCATTGGGCTTTGGGACTTAGAATGCAGCTACAGAAACAGATACATAGAGCATTTATTAGCACTAACTACATGCCATGCACTGTGCTAAGTGATGGGGATACAAAAATAAGAAAACAAGACAGTCTCTACTCTCGAGGATCTTATGTTCTGACAGAGGAAAACAAAACATAAAAGGGACTGATGGGGATGGTATCTGGACCCCTAAGAGGGGTCCCTAAAAGGAAAAGACCATGTCTTTGGGACCTGGCCCTGACCCATCCCAGTCAATAATCCTTTTAACTGCACTTTCACTGGGGCTCTCCTGCCACTTAACTCCCTCCATTGTCTGCACCTGGCCCCACCCCAGGCTACTTGACACCTCTTAACCCCATCCAGATCTTCCCTTCGGTATGAAAGTACCAATTTTATTCTCATTAAATTGCTCATATTCTTAAAATCTGGAGAGCTTGTACCGGTGTCACAAACAGCAGACTGACAATCTTGCCCACTCCAATAGTGTTTTAATAAACTCACTACTTGGACTGAAAAAAGGCCTGAGTGGTGGAATTCTTTTGAGGCAGATCCACACCCTTTGCCCTTGCATTTACGGGTTCCCAGACCCCTAGACAGCAACAGAATCTTGAAAAGGGGAGGAGAGAAAGAACTCACACCAAGGCAGCTAATGGAGTTGGAACAGACCTCAGTTAGAAGCAAAATTTTTTTAAAATATCCTCAGTGACTGGAATATAGTATGTGCTTAATAAATGCTTACAATGCAGTCTAACCATCAACATTTGTTTCTCTCTATGGAACATGGTGCCATTTTTTCCTAACTTTAGTTAATCAACAATGGTTTAATTCCTGACTCTGCAAAGTAGAGATAAGAGATTTTATTAAATGATTGCAATGTTTAGTAAAGTCTTACTAATAATTATATCCTGCAGGAGATGCTGCAAGACCCCAAACGAACCATTTCCCTAAAGACACTTGATTAAAGTGTCTAAATAGCCTCATGGTTCTGTGGGCCTGCTTGATCCTATGGTTTATCTTAGCAGTTTCAAACCCTGTTTAGGTGTCAAAGGTTTCCTATGATCCTAGCCTATACCAAATCCGAAAATACATAAAGGCATAATCTCATAGGGACACACAGCACATCCACAGACAACCACGATATATCATAGGTTAGGATAGGTGCGTAAAAGTACGAAGTATCATTCTAAGCCACATTTAATTACTATGATCACACTGTAAGCTCTTTGAGGACCAGGTCTTATTTATTTTGATATCTGCTCCAGTCAAATGTGTGACTTATCCAAGAAATGAATGATCAGAAAAGGAGAAAGGCCAGGAATGGACAAATGGACAACCTTGGTGCTGTACTGGAAGCCACGAAATGTAAAATTCCCACAAGGTCTATGGATCCTGGATTCAGAGTTGGAAGGAATTTTGGGATAAATCTGGGACAATGAAGCTTTGAAAAGTTTAAATGCTTTGCTCAAGATTACAGCTAGTAAACTGCATTGGGGTTGTGATGCTAATTTGGGCTCTGCCCTTCCCATACCACCGCCCCGCCTCCCTCGACCCAGCAAGAACGGGAGGGCGTGGACAAAAACTCCCGAGGATGGATTATATTGGGGGCACCGCGAGGTAGTCCCCAAATGGATGACCTCAGAATAGGCAAGTTGTTACTATTTTTGTGTCCGTCCCCACCAGGGATCCTTCTTCCAGCCTTCCCAGTTACGGTCACGGAGAGATGTTCTGGTCTTCCCCCACATCCCCCAGCCGGCCCTCCCCAGCCCAGAAACCAGCTGCAGGAAAATCCCGGAGCTGCGGAATCCTTGGCCTGGAATTCCTCCCGAGCGGCAGTGAACCTTCTGATCTGGGCATGCTCAGTAGTCAGTGAGGGGAGGAGGGGAGAAAGGCTCTCCTCATCCCCGCTGGAGGAACCCTCTCGCCCGAGTCTGGCTTCAGGCTCCACCGTGGCAGAAGAGCAGACGGCAGGGGCGACGGCGTCCTGGAGACCAAAGAGAGATGGAAGCGGAGGCGCCGGCGTCGTCCCGGTTGGTGGAGGAAGAGCTAGGTGGGTGCTTGGGGGGCGGCAGTTCTGCTGCTCCCCCGACGACGGCGCGTGCCGGGGCGGAGGCGAGGCGAGGCCTTCGGGTGGGGGGGTGGAGGGTGGGCGCCATTGTTTGGGATCGTCCCCCGCTTCCTCCGAGTGGTACGTCCCTGGGAGGATGTGAGGCGACCTCTGAGGAACCTACCATCCTGGGAAGCGGGGGTGGGCGGAGAGAGGGAGCGCGAGGGGCGGGGGAGGACCAGGAGGAGGATGCGCTGGCTGCCCCGGGGCCCGGGCTGAGGCTCGCGCGGACTGGAGGGGAGGAGGCGGGGGTGTTGCTGGCGTCCCGCCGTCCTCCCCTTCCTACCCGGCGTTGTTTTCTGGCCCTTGGTGAGAAGGCAGAGCGGAGTTTTTCGGGGACCACGGAGATTGGGTGTGAAAGGAGAAAAAGCAAACCCTGCCTGTTTTTGACGCCAGCGAGAATGAACTTGAACTCGGGGCCCAGGACGGGACCGAAGCCATTTGTTTGCTGAGGGCAGTGAACTTGGCCTTGGTAAACAGCCACCACCAGAATATAGCAGGCTTTTGTTTTTTCTCAACCCGAGGCAGAAAAATCTTCTCCGAGACCCCACCATTTCTTCGTGTGAGGCTTTGAAAGAAGCCTCCGTTTTTCTTTTTGAATTTTGCTTGGCCATCTGCAGCAGCTCTGTAAGAACTGCACCCATTTTCTTACCACCCAGTGACTGAGTGAATACGTGAAGTGTGATTTTTTTTTTTAAAGTGTGTGTTTGTATGTGTGTAGAGGTGCAGAGTGGATTGACTTCTGCTGTTAGCTAGCCTTTGATAAAGGTGAGACTCAGCTGTAAAAAAGAAAAAAGCTAAGGACCGGTTCTTTGTGGTTAAATGGCCGGTTACCTAGCCAAATACAATAAATTTTAAAAACCCATTTAGCCCGTCATTGATAATAAAAATAATAGCTGACATTTATATAAGGCCTATTATGTGAGAGGCATTGGGCTAACTAAACACTTGACAATTATCTCATTTAATCAAGTATAACTTTTAGGAAATAGGACAGGAACAGGTCTTTAAAAAATACTTTTATCTTAATTAAAATTAATATAAAATGATATGGTTATATATAAAATTAATTCTTTTATCTTATGATTATTATATGTAGTCATAAGTAAAGGTGATATACTTCATACTTCATTGGATTGAGAACTGATCAGGTTTCCATTTCAGCTTTTACTAACACTTCAATTGTGATTTCTTTACAAACCATTTTTCTTTGCTATGCTTTGGGAAATGAGGAGAAATGATTGTGGTTCTCATCTATATCATAAAGTTCTTGAATTAAATATGCTGGGGACAATTTAAAATGAATCCTCCCATCTACATAATAAAATGAGAATGGACTTTGTAAACCGTTTTTGTTGTTCAGTTGTGTCTGACTCTTTCATAACACTTTTTGGGGTTTTCTTGGCAGATGCTGAAGTGGTTTGCCATTTTCTTATCCAACTTATTTTACAGATGGGGACACAGGCAAATAAGTTAAGCGACTTGCCGGGGGCACACAGCTAGTAAGTGTCTAAGACCCAATTTAAACTTAGGTCTTCCTGACTCCAGGCCCAGCAATCCACTGTACCACTTAACTGCCCTAGAAGCAAAATAGAGTTAAACAATTCAGCCTTCTCACTGTATATTATCATTCTATTTCTTCTTTGAGTCTTCTTTGTGTTAGACTTAAATATTCATCACCAGTCTCAGTTCATTCTTCTTATAGGACTACCATTCTCTTTCATATTTATTCTCAGTTGTTTGCTCCTTTCCATCTTCTGCAAATGTCCTTAAAAAAGCTAGGTTGATTGATTAATTCTCTGTACATTTACACCATTCTCTTTAGGCATCTCGGCCTTTTCTCCCCTATTACAATAAATTCTGCTTCTGTCTTCAGAATTAAATTCTCAGGGAGCTTTTCATCCTTCTTGGGCCGACTCCCCTTGCAAGATATTACATCTTTGGACCCTACTTATTCTTTCTCTGAACCCTCTGAAAGGATCTGAGATTTTAACAATGTGATTATTCTCTCTAGTGATAATGGATCACAGTCCAGCCATTCCTACCTGCCTATCATATGTGACTCATCTATCCCCTACATAAATGTGTTGCAGAAAGTCCATCCAATGTGTTGAAGGCCTTCCTTGCTTTTCTTGACATTACACTAGTAGAATATATGAGCCTCACTTGCTGTGTCACTAGCTCATTGTCTTTATTGCTCATGTTTCTTTGTTGATAACCTTTACACTCTTTCCCTTCATAATTCTTTGTAATGTGTTACAACAGTAGTCACACCTTTCCTGTGCCTCTTCCTTGCCCTTGGGTGGTTATTTTACATTTCATTTCTTCAGAGTCTGTTATCTTTCATTACTCACAGGTATATAACATTGATATAATATGGGTGTTAAAAAGATGGGCCTTTGTTTCAAGGAGAATCTTGTGATTGTTTCTTTTTTTTTTTAAATTCAGTTTCCCAAGGGTTATCTAGGTTTCTTTTTTCTTCCTCTTCAATAAGTGGCCCAAGTCATTGTCCATTTACACTGTCCAAGTCGTATAGTTGGAAAAGCTCTACAGGTCGTCCTTCTGATTGCCTATCATAGTCTGGGCAGCAGATATTCTTTATTCACTTGTTTTTTCCATACATGGGTTGTTAGGTCAAGTGTTTTTTGAGTGACCATGGATCTCAATTAGGAAGCCTTGCCGTTTTCCAGGGCTTGATATAATCACTACAATGTCATTAGATGTTGTGTTGGATCTCTTATGTGACAGTGGTGAATTTAGGGAACATATATCTCCTCTATTTTTCACGTAATATTAACAATCAAAAGATAATTGAACAAGCATATCTTCTGTTATTCATTTCAAGGAATTGTGTATAATTTTAACATCCGTCCTTGTTGGAGGAACCTTTAAGATGGTGGTTTGCTCTACTAAATTAGGTGTTTAAAAAAACAGTAAACAAAGAGTAATTTCAGTGAGATCTTGTATTTTCTGTATCTTTAAATCAATTGTTATGGTAAGTCTCCTGTGGAATATCCCTTATTAAAGCCTCCCTGTTCCCTTCTAATGCTCTTATTGAGGATGCCCTTTTTTACATGTGTAGATTATTCTTTCAAAAATTTTATATTGTTGAACCTATAGGTATATAGGTCAACATCTATTGATGTTTTCTTAGTTATCTGTTTTAGCAGTATAAAGTCAGAATTTTTTTCCATGCTTTTGGTGTCTTCTTCAGATACCTTGAGAATTGTTTTCTCATTGCCTTTAAAATTATGTCATCTCCAGCATGGACCTCTTCTGTATATACTTCATCTAATCCAACTACTTTTCCTGTATTTGTTCTCTTCAGTGGCATTTCTGTTTCTCTCTAAGTTTATCTAGGGCTATAATGATAAGAGCCAACTGTAGTTTCTCTAGTGTCCTTGATAATGAAAAGAACCCTTTAAAAGCCTTTTTTCCTTCCATTTTTGTTTATCTGTTGTCCTTCCAGTTTCATCCTTAAATGCTTTGAAGATGACTCTTCTCTTGCTCCTCCATTGATTCTGACCCAAGTACACTCTGCCATGTTTCTTCTCTGAAATTTCCGGATTTCCTCTATTCCACTGCCCCTTTTTAATCTGTTCTCTTCCTGTTGAATAATGTATGCTCTTTCAGAGTCATATTCCAGTCATGAGTTCTATCCCTCTAGTGCTCAGTATACCTGTGAAATCAGATTTGCCTTTTACTCTCATTATCTATAGTCTATGATGTCTAATACTTGTACTTTGTGCTTTTGTTTATAGACATATGAGTAGACAGAGGGATTTTATTACTGACTTTCTTGGATATTATTTCCTTTGAAATCAGTCTTTACTGCTACGCTTCCTAAGTTGTACCAGTTTTTCTCTATGGTATTAGGCTTAGTGTATTTGGGCAGTTTTCTCCTTTCCCATTCCTTTTTAATTCAAAGGTTTCTTAATCATGTAGGCTTAGGTAACTAATTAGATATGAATGGTGAGAGGAGGGAAATGTTAAAGATAACACTGAGATTAATAATGTGGGAAGCCGCTTGAATTGTGGTGCCAGAAATAGTGAAGTCAGATCAAGGAGGAGGTTTTGAGAGAAAGGTGATAAGGCTAGCTTTAGAAATGTGGAACTTGAGGTGCTAGTGGGTAATCTAAATGGGGATCTTTGATAACAGGTCGAAGTTAAAAATCTCACAGGAGAGGTAAGGGCTGGAGACGTAGATGATAATAATAATCATAGCCAGAATTTATATAGTGCTTTAAAGTTTACATAACACTTTATACATATATCATTTTATCTTCATAACTGTGGGAAGTAGGCATGCTTATCCCTATTTTACAGATGAGGAAACTGAGGCAGACAGAGGATAATTAACTTGTCCAGCATCACACAGGTAGTAAATGCCTGAGACTAGATTTGAAAACTGGTCTTCTTGACTCAAGGTCTCACCCTGTATCCACTGCTCTACTTTATCGGCCTCAGGAATTACCTCCGTAGAGGTAGTAGTTGAACTGTTGAAAGGAATGAGATGGCCAAGGGAAATAGTGTAAAGAGACAATAGTGGAGAACAAAAGAAATACCCTTGGAAGAATGCCATGATTAAGAGATTGGGAAGATGATTGACAGGATGAGTGGAAAAGAAAGACTTAAATTCCATTGAAGTCCCAGACCAAAAAAATCATTATTGTATATAAAATTAATTGGAAAAATGGAAACAGCTATCACATAGAGGCTAGATGTCAAGTTGTCAAAGGAAGTAGATGGAATCCATGATTTATCAGTGTGGAGGTGGTGTGGGAGAAACTAAAACACAGTATCATAGAATTGAGAAGGATCTCAGAAGCCATTTGGGCCAACTCATGCCAGAATAAGTATCCCTTCTACAACATCTATCCACCCTTTGCCTAAAGATCCCCAGTGAAGAGGAATCCACTGCCTTACGAAGCAGCCCATTCCGC